GTAACATGTTTGCAGCAAGGCCCCTGGTACCTTCAGGCTATGTAGCAGATGACCTTGGTGAGTTGACAATAAATATCTTGCAGGGCCACAATTCAGTCTTTGATTTTTTTTTTTCATTCAATCTTTTTGGAAAGAAAAGGCTGTGGTTTTTAAAATATAATGACAATTTTCATAGCTTGGATTAAAAAAAAAAACTCTAGTCAGGGTTCCCTGCTCATAAATAAATAATTCAAAGGCAGCTTATGTATTGAAGATAGGATATTAGCAATTTGATTCTGACAGTGCTGCCTGTCATACAAACCTTTATAATTGTGGCAGTCCCAAAGGGATTCATGTGGCAATACATACTGCCTGCCTACTCTTGCTGGGACCTTGGGCTGACCAATAAAATAGACAAATCTCTGGTAATTCAACCAAGAGAGCAAAGGGAATATTAAATTTAGTCTGTTTGGTATAATATAATAGTTGATTTATTTTTTAAACTCACATTATCACAAGTCACATAACAAAAACAATAAAAATAAGTAATTGTTTCCATGGAATACAAAGCCAAGACAATTTTTCAATAGAAGAATAATGATGGCTCTTGCCTTATGACATATTATTAATACATATTATATATTTAAAAAGCTAGAGGGATTAGATGAGGATGGTATTGGCACAGGAGTGGCAGATTCATGGAATAAGAAGAATCCACAAATGGTGGACACAAATATAAGGGAGAAATATGTATATGATAAAGAAGACATTTAAGTCAGTGAGGAAAAGAATGAATTAATCAATAAATCACGTTGAGACAACTGGCTCCCCAACACTAAAAAGTAAAGTCATTCCTATCTTATTTCATATAGAAAAAGAAATTCTAGGTGGGTTAAAACTATTGAAGGACAAGAAACATCCTAGGTAAGTTTTTGAGATGTTCTTTGCAAGAACCCTATCAAAGTCAGAAATCATAAAGCAAAAGAATGTTAGATGTGATGGCACAAAAATTACAAGGTTTTGTATGAGATTTTATTTATTAATTTATTTATTTGAGAGACAGAGAGCAAAAGCAGCGGGGGGAAGGGAGAGGGAGAGGTAGACTCCCCACTGAGCAGGGAGCCTGACATGGGGCTGGATCCTAGGACTTGATCCCAGGACCCCGAGATCATGACCTGAGCCGAAGGCAGATGCTTAACCGACTGAGCCACCCAGGCGCCCCTTTTATGAGAATTTAAAACAGCCCATAAGCCAAAATCAAAAAAAGAGGCAAAGGTGAATGTATTTTGGACCTGAATGTTTAATATCATTTCATTTCAGCTGATGAGGCCTGTGAACAAGGGTCACAAAGCTTAATCTATAAAAATATACTAGAGAAAAAGCATAGAAGGATATACCTCTGTGTGAGTTATATCTGAGCGACCAGTATACAGTTGATATGCTTTTTTTCTTTATATTTTCCTGTACTTTAAAATTTTGCTTTTACAGTGATCGTGCATTCCTTTCTCTTATAAACAGCAAAAATAATTCAGCTATTAAAAGTGCTTACTGGTCCCATATGTGAGCACTTCTTGGAAATTCTTACATCATAAATATTAGATACTAAATATAGCTAAGTATCTTGTAAAAAGAAATCTGAGTTTAATTTGGCGAGGACTTCAAAGTACTTGGAGGTTTCCTGATTGCTGGAGTGTAGAAGCTCTTTCAGTACTTGGGTCTTTTATTGCACTGCAGAATTTGTTTATTGTCCATATATAAAGTAACAATATTCCATTTTGTGGCATTGCTCACTGCATAATCCTAAATTACCAAGAATATTAATCAAATAAGCATCAAAACTATTGTCTTGCATTCTATTTATTTGCTTTGACAAGAGACCAGTAAATCTATCTAAATAATTCATACCTCATTGCATGAGAATAAGTGTCTATAGACTATCTGACAATGAGAATTATATCCTAATAAATATGAAATCTAATTCTAATGCTTTTCCATTTAACTTTGCACTAAGCATATATATATATATATTTTTAGGGAGCATCCTAGATTTTATAAATTAGTTAAATAAATATTGTTGGCATATTTCTTAATATTTTCTACTTATAGGAACTGCCAATAATCAATAATGTCTCCACATGGTCTAAATTTTCTGGAGTCCATTAAAGTATAACTTACAGTAAAGAGACAATGATGATGGTAGTTGGCATCTCTCTAGACAAATTATTCAAAATGGAACATTTCATTTAAAGAAAACAGTGTCCTGGAGAAGGCTTGGTTTTGGAGGCAGACAAGCCCTAGCATTCAACCAGGGTTCCCTTGCTTATCGTCTCTATGTTCTTGGGCAAATGACTTGACCTCACGAGTTTGTTTCCTCACCTGTGAGACAGGGCAAGTGGCCATTTAAGTCAGTGACGAATTTTGTGGCCATTATTGAGGGGATGTGTTTAAAGCACCAGGCACACATTAGGCACTCAAACATATGACTATTATCGAGGATGGACCAAGGGGATGACAAGGCTGCCATGCGTCCAGGACAAAGCTGGCTGAGTCTCTACCAAGAGGTTCACAGAGGAACTATCACCTCAATGAATTTACTACCATCCAGGGGTGAGGCTGCCAAGCTCAAAACTGAATGATCACAGGGAAGATGACTCACGCTATTCAAGTTCAGTCAACAGCTAACTGATTGAAAGTAGAACATATTCTTTTCTGGTGCCTGAAGTGATCATATCTCCCAGTCAGGCACCACCAAAATAACTCAGTTATTTTGGGAATGATGGACTCAGAACAAAGGGAGGCAGAGTCATGAGAACAGTTTCACCTGATCCACTCCTTGCTTACCTCAGATCCCACCTCACCAGAGCATAGAAACTTGGTACCTGCAGAGCTGGAGTTTCTCCAGGGAAGTCCAGATAAACCACCTTTGGGACCACTGAGGTTGTTTTTGGTTTTGTTTTCATTGTTCAAGGTTACTGATCCACCCTCATTCTGTCTACATGGGCCTTCCAGAGAGAGAAAATTACTACCCATTGGTCTCCACTTATTAAATTGCCATCACTTCCAGTCTTTTCTCTCCAGGTTATAGGAAGATTACTTAGGTGAAAGTGCTGGGTATTCCCTTAGATAGCCAATTTTATCAACAATGTGAGGATTTTACCAGGATAACCATAAAGAACTATCTGATTCCCTTGTTTCCGAGTCTCTGGAGGAGTCTCACTGCTTCTACATGCAATACTAAGTTGTCTTTACTGTTATTTCTGTTGATTGGATGGCTGGATACATGGATGGATGGATGGCTGGATACATGGATGGCTGGATACATGGATGGATACTGTGCTGGACATCAGCAATGAATGAGTCCTTGGTATCTTATCTGGCATCCAGAATGATAAGAAGTTGGGACAAAAGAAACTTAATCTTCTGACATATGTTTATTGCCTTTTGATTCAAGGAAAGCAAAAGCAAAGAACCATGTTGAGCTTAAAGGAAAGAGGGGCTGTCTAGTCAAAACAGCCTCTCAGTTTTTCAGTCTCCTTCATAAAAAAAATCCACCCTAAACCTAGAATTCACTGAGGTGTTAGTACATGTTGGTCTCTTATAAGGAGTGCGCTGACTGTACTCTGAGCCAGAGTCCCAGCTCTGTCCAGATTGACCTTGAAAAATTCACTTGGTTCTATTAAGTGTTTTTAAGTCCCCCTCTCTGTAAGAAGAAAATACTAACTTTAGCCCTCAATGCTTCCTCAGGAATGTTGTGAGGAGAGAGTAACAGCATATGGGATATAGTGTAAGCTCCTACAAAGAAAGGTCCATAAATGGATTTACAAGAGCAAAAATAAATGGTCAATATTCTCAGTATCATGCTGTTGTTCTTCCTTTTAAACACATTTCTCCGGTTAAAGTTGATAGTGAACTGATAAATATGCTAAGCAGATTTAGGTCATGCTGCTCTTTGAAATCAGCTTGCTGATAATTCTCATCTTAAGGATTCATTTAGCACCACCCTATCTTCTAGAGAAGAATGGGAAATACAATCATAAAGACTCATCTTGTTTAAAAGAATCTAAACTATCTATACCTAGCATCACCCTGAAGTCAGCCCCACCTTCCCCACCAGCCCTCTGAGCAATGCAAATCTGTACATGACTGTCACAGCAACTTGAGTTGAGCAGGAGAAGGTTTTCCTAAAAAAAGCCCGGAGCAGTAGAAGGCATGCAGCAACTCCCAGCTGGTCACTGGAATGTGTTCACAATATGCTGCAAGCCTGCAGAAAGCAACATTCTATACCCCGTGGAGTCCTTGTGACAGTGACAGAGCTTTCTCGTAGGCTGTAATCAATTATGATGCTTAAGTGCCTTATGTTTTAAAGAAAAATAAATAATGAAACATCTCTCTCTCTCTCTCTCTCTCTCTGCAACGGAGACCCAACCAAGTCAAATCATTTCAATGCCATCTCTTGGCCAACTGCTCGTTCTAAGAGAATACTTCCAAAATTGTGAAAGTAGAAACAAAATGAATGAATCATGGGAAATACACAGGGTTGCTCTTTTATCAGATCACGGTGTTTTATCTCCTGTTTCTCCATATCAAGAAAGAAAATACTCAGATTTTTAATCTATAAAAGAACAGTACGTTCAATGTGTCCTTCGGAAGCTCTGAACAGACACACGCTCGGCACCTAATGCACTAGGGACGCAGCCCCGGAACACTGCCTCGCCCACAATGTGGAAATTCCCATCCAATTTCTATATATAACCACCACATTTCACATGCACACACCAGCCCCCAAACCCGTCCACATGCACACTATAATCTCCTCATGCTCACAGAAACTGGAATGCTGTAACAATGCCCTGCATTGGAGAAATTCACAAGAAAAGCCAAGAGATGGTTTCCTGACTGAAGGAGAAAGGGCTAGCTCAGTCGGCGGCAATGCCTTCACGCCAAGGCAGGCTCTGCCCAGCTCTCTGGAGTGTGATCTGCATGTCTAATAATGGAATAGGTTCGCGGGATCAGCCACTTACCTTGGAATGCTGCAGCAGAAGTATCTGCTCATCAAGTTCCTGTCGCTTGCCTTCTATTTCAGTCTGCCTCTTTCTTTTTTCCTTGAAAATAAAGAGAGAGAGGCTGTAAGAGTAGGTGGGTGTTGGCTCCAGGAATTTTAAGGCTGGAAGGAGCGGCGGCAGCACACATCTGTAGAGACACTCACAGAGACCCTGGGCACACACACAGTGTCACCTGCCTCTCCGTCTCCAGTAGCTTTCTCCCTAACATGCCTGCTGTGGGCTTGGCAAGTGGGAGAGTCTCCTCTGTCAGCCGGGCTGCAGCAATTTCATCCAGAAGAAAAGGCGGTTTCCACACAGACACACACACACACAGAGACACACACACACACACACACTCACAGAGTCATGTTCTATGCAGTGTTAATTTGGAGACAAAGAATAAAAATGTCTCCGTCGAAAAGATAGAGGTTGTTATAAACTGCAAAGATGACAGAATGAAACAGTGGGGATTCTAGGGTTAGCTTTCTCTCATCGAAATCACATACACATGTAATCCAACACAATTTCCAATTTTGTAGGACAAATCATCCTGTTGGACATCACAAACAATGCAAATTAGATGGGTGGTCTTTGCTGAAACTAGTCTCAGGGTGGGGGTGGGGGAGCACTGCATGTGGGTGGGGCTCCCTGAGGTTATGTTAAATATGAAATCTGAAGTTGGTCTGCCTGGATCCAACTCCCAGCTCTGCCATTTGCTACCTGTGTGACCTGTGGCAAGTTCTTTTAACCTCCCTGGGTCCAAGCCTTCTCTCACATAAAGAGGAGATCATAATTTGTACCTAAACCATATGGTTGGGGCGTGGGTTCAATGAGATGATAATGTAAAGGATTTGGAACAATGGTCTGGCACATAGTAAATGCTCAATAAATGTTATTTGTTCTTATACTTATTGCCACATGTTTACTTCTAGGTAATGCCTAGACGCCAGCTCTAAAGGGAGGTAATTCCCCTGCACTCAGAGCATAACCTTTCCACTGGAGTGCACACTTAATGCTTTTCTTCCCCACAATTCTCAAATGGAGACAAGAGACATCATATAAATGTGACTGATTTAAGAACAGAAAGCCCTGCCTTTAATGACAGCTTACTTGTTCCATGTTTTGTTTCCAAAGTGCACAGTAGGGAGGTCTGCTGAGACATTTATGGCACTGGATTATTTTCCTTGACTCACATATGCAGGGAGAAACTTGCTAGACAGACAGAATGGCATCCGACAATACAACAGCCAAACTCTGGAGAGGACGATAATGTGGAAGGCTGGCTGCTGGGGGGCTCTGTGCTAACAGAAGGAGTTGCTATGTTTCTGGGGATGTGCCGGTGCCACCGCTATTCAAATCAACACAGCAGTGATTTGTATTACAACCAAGCTCCTCTGTGCAATACACAGACTTGTAAGAAATATTAGTTTATAATCTCAAGCCACTGGGAGACATGATATCCGAGTCAGGGATATAACCTCCCTGCCAATGTGAGGCCCAAGAAGTTAGCCATTTACCAAAGAACTCCGATCAGTGGCGCATTATGGACACTGCTTAATCCCAGAGAATGTGTGAGAACATATAATATATGACAGTGGATGGGAAAGTGAGGCCTAATGAGAAGAGCCCCCTTATCCAGTGCCTCAGAGGTGCCACATGACAAAGCAAGGACCTCCGGAACCAGCCACCATCTCTATATCCTAGCTACTCTAGCCCCTCAAGAGTAGGCTCACTGGACTTTATCGTTCGCTCCCACTGGCTATCAAGATATGTAGTGGTGCAGGGGGGCCAGAGCAAGATGGAGGAGGAGGAGGAGACCTGGATTTCGTCTGGTCTCAGGAATTCAGCTGAATACAGATCAAACCATTCTGAACACCTACGAACTCAACAGGAGATCGAAGAAAAGAATAGCAACAACTCTGAACAGAAAAGCGACCACTTTCTGGAAGGTAGGATGTGCGGAGAAGTGACTCCGAGGCGATATTCAGGAGGATAGGTGGTGGGGGAGGGGGCCTCCGTCGGCCGCTTCTGGCAAGTGACAGAGCCGCGGAGCACAAAATCGGAACTTTTAGAAGTCGGCTCTGCTGAGGGACGTCGCTCCAGTGGCTAAGCGGGGGGTGGAACCCTCGCGGGACAGTGTGGTCTCAGGACCCTCGGGGTCACAGAAAGACCCGGGGGGTGCCTGAGTGCGGCAGAGCTCCCAGGTATCGGAGCGGGGAAGCCGGCTGCAGAGACGGAGCCGAGGCGCGGGCTCTCAGCTCGGGGTGGCCATAAACTGTGATCCGCGGCCCAGTCGGGCCACTGCGCCTCCAGCAGGGACCCAACAAGCGGCAGATCCGGAGAGATTCCCCTTCCTCCCCCGGGAGGAGCGGCGCAGGAGCGCACTGCAGGGATCTGCTGGGTTTGGAGACTCCACGCCGAGTCGGGTGCCAGAGATAGAAACACTCGGTCACAGGCCGGGTGAGCACGGAGTGCGGCCGGAGACCGGGGACACGGGAGTGACTGACTGCTTTTCTCTGGGGGCGCACTGAGGAGCGGGACACTGAGTTCTCGGCTCCTCTGGGCGGAGACTGGGAGGCCGCCATTTTCACTCTCATCCTCCAAAGCTGTACCGAAGGCTTGCAGGGAACAAAAGCTCCTGAGAGCAAACCCGAGCAGATTACTTACCCCGGATCGGCAAGGGCAGGGCAATTCTGCCTCCGGCAAAGACATTTGGGAACCACGGCAACAGGCCCCTCCCCCAGAAGATCAGCACGAACAGCCAGCCAAGACCAAGTTTA